GATATCGGCCAAAATCCCAATATCGTGCATTGCTACAATTTAGCGAAAAACATAATTATGCACAAATAAGAAATCGTTGAATTAACTTTACATCTATACAGTTTTATGCCCAGTATTGCCTAATGGTAAATCGACCCCTGACTACCATCACAACTGCAGTATCACCACTCCAACTCCGTCTCCTTAAACAAACATTGCATCATTGCACCATGCATCCCCAACAGGACTGTTAATATTCTGCAGCGTTAAACAACATGACGTCTCTGTGTGCCATAAAGTTTAGCTTTGAAGGGGGGGAAATAAAGCAGACCCTGATTCAAAGCATAAACTAAAGCGTCTAAGATGAGCCGAGGAAAACATTCCTGTCAAGTATTTTTAGTAAATAACCTCTCTGCACTTAGATTAAATAAATATAGATAGAGCTGCCAGGATTAAATGTTGCTGTTTCACGTTTTATATTAAGACAAAACATGGAGACCATATAAATATTTGTAGAACCAAATTAGAGGGGTGGATCTTCAATCTTCCTTATTTAATGTAAGAAATTTCATTCTAAAATAGATCAGTTTCACATCTAAAAGCTAAAACCATAGCTTTGCCTTCGTTACCTTCGTTAGTATTGCACATTATCTAACGTTAACTAGTGTGAAGTGGCCTTTTCACTGCAAATGTTCTATTTTATAGAAATCAGCTAAGTGTAGGTCTGACTGTCGGGTAAATTGCTTTTTATTTGCTCTCATAGATGAGTCAGATAAACCAAAATAAGCATGGAAACCATGCTGCCAGGCTGTGAGAGAGACGTCTCAGTCATTCCTTACTGCATATCATTACCCAGTCTGTACATTTACACACGTTCAACCAGAAATTCATCCTGGTTATGATTAAATATTACAAATTTGGTACCCAAAGTACCCATTTCTGTCCAATTAAAGCATTCTAAACTTTATCTTGTTAAATATTAATAGGGATTTTGCTGAGAGAATAGATGAGTTTAAATTCTTTTTATTGTGTTGCTTCTCTGACGTCTTATAAACAAATCTAAATCACAATAAATATGCATTATTCTCCCGCAGCCCCGGTAGCTTCATTCACCTGCCGTTCCCTCCCCGCTCTCTAATTATCATTCATCTTATTCACCTGCTTCCTCTGCTTTATATAAGGTTCATTCCAGCTATCTGGGCCAAATCATTATTTGTGTTTTTCTTAGTTTATTCGTGTTATGTTTTTCATGTTTGTTTCCTTTCATGTTTGAGGCCAGTGGGTTTAGAGTGTTTGGTATTTGTCTCCTGGTTGTGTCCCGGCCCTTCTCCGCTGAGCCCTCAAGGTTTTGGAGGTCAGTTTTAATTCCCGTAAGCCTGCCTCCAAGGTTTAGACCAGTTTAAAGTTCGGCATCTCTCCTGGTTCCGTGTCTTGTCTATGTTCCTCTCTACCACTGAGCCTTCCTGTCTCCATCTGAGCGTGTCTGTCTGAGTTTGCTGCTGGACTCATAGAACTCTGAACCTGCCTGAACGCTCCGAGGATTCCTGGAACCCTGGATCTTGGAACTGTCCGGTTCTGAACTGTTTCTCTGACCCGGAACGGATTCCTGCCTCTCAATGGGGTTGCTGCATCGGGGACACTTTGGACGGACTGAACTGTTAAAACAGGTAAGTGACTCAATCGGATAATCATCTCCTGTCGGATGATGGTGGTCACTTACCTTTGTTTCTCCCTCCAGAGTGTCAGTGATTGGGCGGTGCCCCGCCCCCCTCTCCATTGTCTGACTGGCCTTGAATACTGGGTCCATCTGTCTCGTTTTACACGTTTTACACAATATAGTTGATAGGATTTTTATAATTAGTGATTGAAATCAATGATTTTGGTCCTTTTTTCATAAAAAGTCAAATCGATGGCGACCCGGATGTATTTCTGGTTGCAGGTGAGGAAATGAGGTGATGGTATTGATCATTCTACTGGCACAGATTGGGTAGGAACACAGTCATCCAACGACAATTAGATGACGTCAACGACTCACTAGAGAAATCATCTAAAAATAAAAAGCGTTTCGTTCTACAAAGATTGAAGGAGTGAAAAAAAGCCGTCTAGCTCCTCGACTGAGCATTTTAAGGTTAATAAGGGTTTGTTATTATCGTCACACAAAGAAGGGAAGTAGACATTCTGTTTGAAACCATTCAGGACCTTCCTCAATCAAAAACAGCAATAGATAAATTGATTTTAATACTTTTTAACTTCTTATGGACGATTTAAAAAGTTTGCATCACACTTTAACATTAAGTTAATTTTTATACATGCTGATTTTTGCGTTACAGATGGCGGGATGTTATTTTGTGTCGATTGAAGGACCCAGATTACAAACTGCTGCCAACTTATCGGTTTTGTTACTATATTTTTAGACCAAACTTTGAACCATTTTTTTTAAAAAAGCAACTGTTGTCGTTTCTGTGAGCGCTGCTCTGAGCTCCTGCCTCCCTCAAAGCGCCGATAGATGGTCAGATTCAGCAGAAAACTGGGCCTGCAGTCAAAGTTTAGCTTCAACTGACCCCCTCCATATTCATAAGTGGAATCTATTAATAATACTGGACATAATGTTAATAATTTTTTTCAATTGCTGGACTAAAACAGATCCCTGCATTTGATTCAAACTCAGCCTCATCCACTGTGTGTCCTCTGCTAATTGTCTTTAAGTCGAATTATTATTGAATACAGTAGGGCTGAGACAATTAATCGGATTAATTGATTATTCAAATAACCGTCAACTAATTAATTGTTGACTGGAGTAAAGAGACTCTAAAACGTGCCTTTAGCTGACAGAGCGACCCACTTAGAGCAGGAATTTAACCAGAATGGTAAATATTAAATATAAAAATGTTTTTGTTGTTGGGATCTGGAGGTCATTCCACTTTTCTCCACCAGAGGGCGTTCTAGGTCTCCTGGAGCTGACTGCACCACCTGCGGCTCGTTTGCTCATCAGGAGACCAGTGTTTAAGGAGGCAGAGGACATCACTCCGGCGCCAGAG